TGGAAAGAGACGTTGTTGTCTTGCCTATATACTGAGTTCTTTGGGGCTTACAGTCCCCAAGTGGGCATTTGAAGGCATAGACGACGTTGGTCTCCTTCAAGGCGTTTTGCTTGGTGTCTGGGGAGTTTCTCATGAGTAGGTTGGCCGTTTTCTTGGTTTTATAGTTAATCGTCAATTGTATTTTCTGATTTTTGTCTGTAGGGATAACATTCCTATCAACAATATCTTTCAGGACCCTTTCCTCCGTTTTATGAGCCATCGAAAAGAAGTTCCTGTCAAATAGTCTAATAGGGGGTACAGGTGTTAGTTGACTCTTCAGAGGTTGCATGGCGTTTCACCTTTCTTTTTATGATTTCAACAAAACCATTAGAGAAGCTGTTGTTGAGTAGGACCTGCCTTACCCTACAGAGTTCTTCATCGACTTGCTTCCATCCTGAGCTGTAGCTGAGAGCACGGTCGACGTAAGCGTTGACAACACTCCTCTTGTACCTGTCTGGGCAGTCACTATTGGCATTGAGGCACATTCCAATGTTTGTTTCCTTAGTGTAGACTGCAGTGTGGAAGCCTCTGCTCCTTTCCATGATTGTTACATCTAGAAAAGGCAGCTTCCCATCCTTCTCCATCTCGTAAGTGAAACTCAACACAGAATTCCGCTCAAATGCCTCCTTCAGCTCCTGCAGACGTCTGGCATCAGGTACCTGTGTAAAAATGTCATCAACATACCTGCAGTATATGGCGGGTTTCAAGTCCATGTCAACTAAGACCTGCTGCTCGATGGTACCCATGTAGAAGTTCGCAAACAGGACACCTAGGGGAGAACCCATGGCGACCCCATCTACTTGCTTATACATGTGCCCATCAGGGCTCAAGAAGGGTGTCTCTTTAGTACAAGCTTGGAGTAGTTTCCTTAGTGTGTTTTCTGGTATGTCACTAAAGAGGCACCCTTCTTGAGCCTTATGTTGGCCAACCTAGTATATGCCGCTGATGATATCCTATTGATGTGGGCCTTTGGGGACAGGTTCGGCGTGATATGAACCCCCAGATCTTTCTCTCTATTTGACTCTTGCAGGATTTCACCTCCCAGATGGTACCTTGTGTTCAGCCTTCTGCTCCCTTCGCCTAATTTCATTATTTTACACTTTTCTGAGTTGAACTTTAGTAGACATTTTCTAGACCATTCCTCCAGTTTGTCCAGGTCATCCTGTAGTGTCTGTCTATCTTCATCTGTCTTGATTCTCCTCATAATTTTTGCATCATCAGCAAACATTGAGAGGAATGAGTCTATACCCTCTGGAAGATTATTTATATATATTAGAAACATGATGAGTCCAAGTACAGAGCCCTGTGGGACTCCGCTGGTGACATCTTGATACTCTTATGTCTCTCCTCTCACAGTTTCCTGTTGCTTAGATACTCCCTTATGTGTGTGTGCGTGTGTGTGTGTGTGTGTGTGTTTACTAGTTGTGTTTTTGCGGGGGTTGAGCTTTGCTCTTTCGGCCCGCCTCTCAACTGTCAATCAACTGTTTACTATTTTTTTTTCTCCACACACACACACCCCAGGAAGCAGCCCGTGACAGCTGACTAACTCCCAGGTACCTATTTACTGCTAGGTAACAGGGGCACTTAGGGTGAAAGAAACTTTGCCCATTTGTTTCTGCCTCGTGCGGGAATCGAACCCGCGCCACAGAATTACGAGTCCTGCGCGCTATCCACCAGGCTACGAGGCCCCTACCTGAGTGTGTGCGCGTGCTCCGTGCAGGGGTTATATCAACCAGTCCTCCTAATAAAACGTCACATTTTGACGTATACTTTTACCTAAGGTCAAAAAATGTCGTACTAGAAAATGGTAGCGGCTCGTAAAATTTGACATTCTGTCCCGTTTTCTGTTTTTAGGTCCTCTGGTAGGTTAGGATATGGGCACGTTAGTACAACAGCTTCTTGCCGTTGGGAAACATTAGGAGAACGGGCTGGTTATATAAGCCCCGACTCGTGTATTCTGCCTCATGCACTCCTCAAAAATGTATTAAATCACGAAAGCTGTCGGATTATTTTCGGTTAACTTTTTTGTGGATACTTAACCATAAGTAAATTAAATGCTTTTGTGATTATTCTTACATATATAATGTTTAGCGAGACCAGTAGAGCAGGTAATGTGTGTGTTTTAATGTTTCGAGGAATAGTGACACTAGTATCTTGCTGTCTTCTGTTCAAGTGGGAGTGTGGTAGTATGTTTAGTGTCAATAACATAGATACAGTCTTACGGCTGCGAACGTTTAGTGGGACAGCCAAGAGATAAAGGAAGAGTTCACGTGATTTACAAGTGAAGTTGGTCACCAGGGACGACCAGTCACTATGACGGTAGGCGCTGGCTTCTCTGGCGACCCAAGACAAGGTTTCCTTCAAGATTACTTTTCACCTCCCTGAGGAAGAGTAACTCCACCAAGTGCTGTGAGGCGGTTCAAGGAACACTCACGGCAGGTTACAGTGGCATACCTGGAGCATACCTGGAGAGGGTTCTGGGAGTTCTACTCCCCGAGCCCGGCCTGGGGCCAGGCTCGACTTGTGATAACCTACAGTGGGTTTATTATTCTGCCGTGGCGGAGTGAGGCCAGGCCAGCTGCACTGCGACTAAGAGTAATTTTATTTTTCACAATTATAGCCCCTTAAGTAATTAGGGACTTACAGGCGAGTGTCCACGTTCCTCAACGGATAGTAACACCTCCCTTCATGCTCAGGTATCTTACTGTCGGGGGTGAGGGGTCCCTGACACGTCAGTGGGGCGTGTGGCAGCTCAGGTGTGAGAGAAGAGCAGGGACAGGCGGACTGTCAACCTCGGGAAGTGAAAGGTGAAACATTGAAGAAAGTGGAGCAGGGAGAGGAAGAAGTGTAATGGTAACAGTTAGAGGGGGAGAGATAGGAGGGAGAAGTTGATAGATAACAGATTTGGAGAGGGAAAGACAGGAAATATAATGTGAGAGAGAGAAATGGGTGGACGAGTGAGACACTGCTGGACACAGGATGTAAATCAATACAAACCTGCCACACGCTCTCTCACTTGCCATGAACTCTCTCTCTCTCTCTCTCTCTCTCTCTCTCTCTCTCTCTCTCTGTCTCTGTCTCTGTCTCTCTCTGTCTGTCTCTGTCTGTCTCTGTCTGTCTGTCTGTCTCTCTCTCTCTCTCTCTCTCTCTCTCTCTCTCTCTCTCTCTCTCTCTCTCTCTCTCTCTCTCTCTCTCTCTCTCTCTCTCTCTCTCTCCTCTCCCTCTCTCTCTCTCTCTCCTCTCCCTCCCTCCCTCCCTCCCTCCCTCCCTCCCTCCCTCCCTCCCTCCCTCCCTCCCTCCCTCCCTCCTCTCTCTCTCTCTCACTCTCTCTGTCTCTCTCACTCTCTCTGTCTCTCTCACTCTCTCTGTCTCTCTCACTCTCTCTGTCTCTCTCACTCTCTCTGTCTCTCTCACTCTCTCTGTCTCTCTCACTCTCTCTGTCTCTCTCCCTCTCTCTTCCCCTCCCTCCCTCCTTCCTCTTCCCCTCCTTCTCTTTAGACCAAATCAAGAGATCACTATAAACATCACTGATGTTCGTGAATGACTACCACAAGTCAAGAGCTGTTATCCCTAATCAACTCTTTCGAAGCCTTACAGTACAAAGCGAGCTATTTATTCAGTCCGTCCTCATAAACAAAGACCCAAAGTCCATTCCATGCATCCGCCACACCCCCTGTCTATGAATGAAAAACAGTTTACACAAGACTCACAACTGATGCCGTTCGAACACTTCCGGAACAAGTGCTTCACTGACGACTTTTGTTCGAACCACAACGCTGTAAATGCTTCACCCACGTACTACACATACTCGCCAACAGAACCTAAACACCTAACCTAACTAGTGCCTAAATATGCACAGTATGCTAATTATTTAACAATATTAATTTATATTTTAGACAATTCCTATTTTGTTTGAACAACATGTTAAAATTGATGAATGCGTCCTTTGGGGGTCGACCGCTGGATGGAATGGACTTTCTCTGAGGACAGGTTGATTTATTAAGTTAAACATTATTATTTCTAGGTATAAACTTGATTTAATATTGTTATAATCGTATAATGTAAGCGGCAAGTGAACCACAAAATGGATCCATTGAAAATCCAGTCTCAAATACCTGCTTGGGTTTAACGTAACTACAGAGCCTCGACAACACACACACACAGCCACCCCCCGCCCGCCACCGCCGGCCCGCCACCCCCCCCCGCCCGCCACCGCCCGCCACCGCCCGCCAGCCACCGCCAGCCACCGCCGGCCAGCCAGCCACCGCCGGCCGGCCAGCCAGCCAGCCAGCCAGCCAGCCAGCCAGCCAGCCAGCCAGCCAGCCAGCCAGCCACCGCCGGCCAGCCAGCCACCGCCGGCCAGCCAGCCACCGCCGGCCGGCCAGCCAGCCAGCCAGCCAGCCAGCCAGCCAGCCAGGCACCGCCGGCCAGCCAGCCAGCCAGCCACCGCCCGCCAGCCAGCCACCGCCCGCCAGCCAGCCAGCCAGCAGCCAGCCAGCCACCCACCCACCCCCACCCACCCACCCACCGCCCGCCCGCCAGCCAGCCAGCCAGCCACCCACCCACCCACCGCCCGCCAGCCAGCCACCCACCCACCGCCCGCCAGCCACCGCCGGCCAGCCAGCCACCTCCTAGCCACCACCGGCCACCTACACGGTACAGGAAGGCAGACAACCATCACCGTGGCTGTAAGTGTAACCTGTACAATGAGGGGTTGGCAGCCAGTGTGGAGGTCCCTCCACCAACCCTCCGCCATCTTCCTCTGACATTTCCATTACAGGACGTAAAGGCTCGACTGATTATGGCTTCCCGCGCGTCAAAGTTGAAGTGCTCCATTTATACTGCTCCTGGTGACGTCACGCTCACCACCGCTCGTCACCAATATGTTTAAACAAAGCCACACTGATCTGTGGCTACATTACAGTAACGCTAAATATTATTTCTACGGTAAAGAAGCTTCGATGACCTGCAACACCGTGGATTCTTTCCTGTCCCCAGAGGGCACTGAAGAGACGACCTCTGAAGGTTGGTGTGGCAATGGGGTCCCCACTGGTGTGTGAATATATAATATGTTGTACCTAGTAGCCAGAACGCACTTCTCGGCCTACTATGCAAGGCCCGATTTGCCTAATAGGCCGAGTGATTTTCTTTATTTTCAATAAAATGTTTCCGGTTGGTTTATTTTATATATTTTTGTTATATTATATTAAGAACATAAATTATTGATTTAGTTATGTTAGTTTAGATTAAGTTAAGATAGGTTAGGTTAGGTTGGGTTCGGTCATATATCTCTGTTAGTTGTAATTCATATTTAAAAAATATTCAGTCATACATAATGAAATGGATAGCTTTATCATTTCATAAGAATTTTTTTGAAAAATATTGAAATTTAGGAAAACTTGGCTTATTAGTCAAATCGGGCCTTGCATAGTAGGCCAAGAACTGCGTTCTGGCTACTAGGTGCAACATATATATATATATATATATATATATATATATATATATATATATATATATATATATATATATATATATATATATAAACTGTTCGTATTTGTGCTGCTCACGTGGCCCCACAATGTGAGGTGATTTGATAAAATAAGTATGGCCAAGCTTACCACCAAGTGCCGTCGGGTCGTTGGGGATGTAGCCTCGGCTACCAATGTCTTTTGTACGGTAACAGTTGGTCAAGTGGTTAAGGTACAAGTTACGCCAGTTGTATAGTGCTCCTGGCTGTCTTGAGTTTGAGTCACTTCTGGGGGTGTGGAGCTTTCAGTTGCATTTTGGCTTGGGGAACATTCAAGCTTGTTTGCATATATATATATATATATATATATATATATATATATATATATATATATATATATATATATATATATGGCACAACTCTCCTAAACACGAGAGTCAAGTATACAACTTTAGAACACTTTCCCACCAGGAGACTCGAACCCTAGCCAGCACAGAAGCCTTCCAGGAACTGGCATAACAGGTACGCCTTAACCCTCTCCACCACCTGCTCAGACCCTTAAAAGAGATGGTAATTTCGGAGTATTTAAATACCACAAAGATCACCACCTCCCAAGAGCACTAGAGCAAGTGAGGGGTCATTTAGACGTTAATTTCATCAAGTCCCTGTTAATATGGGAAGACAGTGTCTATGCTTAAGGCATAACTCTCCTAAACACGAGAGTCAAGTATACAACTTTAGTACACTTTCCCACCAGGAGACTCGAACCCTAGCCAGCACAGAAGCCTTCCAGCAACTGGCATAACAGGTACGCCTTAACCCTCTTCACCACCTGCTCAGACCCTTAAAAGAGATGGTAATTTCGGAGTAATTAGGAGAGTTGTGCCTTAAGCATAGACACTGTGTCTTCCCATATTAACAGGGACTTGATGAAATTAACGTCTAAATGACCCCTCACTTGCTCTAGTGCTCTTGGGAGGTGGTGATCTTTGTGGTATTTAAATACTCCGAAATTACCATCTCTTTTAAGGGTCTGAGCAGGTGGTGGAGAGGGTTAAGGCGTACCTGTTATGCCAGTTGCTGGAAGGCTTCTGTGCTGGCTAGGGTTCGAGTCTCCTGGTGGGAAAGTGTTCTAAAGTTGTATATATATATATATATATATATATATATATATATATATATATATATATATATATATATATATATATATATATATATATGTATGTATGTATATATATATATATATATATATATATATATATATATATATATATATATATATATATAATATAGGGGTACCACCACTGGTTTAATTAAAGGGACCCACATCCTCGAAGAAGAAAATAAATAGTGTTCAGAGAAGACCTTGTGGATTCTCACTGAATACTTTAATCTTTTCCTCTCCTACCACCCCTATTATTTTTTTTTTTTTTTATTTTATTGCAATGCTACAGTTTACAGAAAACACACACTTATATAACAATATAACAATCAGTGTTCGAAGACCTCGTCCAGCTCCTCGGGGGTCGGGTGCGTACCCAAGATACAGCACGCATTTCCCCTCTGAACAGCGACACTGAGGCGCTGGAACATAAAACTGGCCGCTCTTGGGTCTCTAGTCTTCCCAATGAGTTCCTCGCCCAGCTCCTTCAGGAACTTAAGTGCACATTTACCCCAGGCGCCCAGAGTCTCAGAGCCTATTGGCACGAACCTGTAACAACGTTCTAGGTCCCTGTACTTGTTAGTTTTCTGGGTCTCCCTGAAGGTGGCCGCCCCGCCTCCCTCAGCTGCACTGTAAGGTAGATAGGTATCAGCCAATGTGGATGCACACGTGTAGTCCCACACGACCTGTTTACCTTCCCTCCACGGCTGCAGGGTGACTCCATCTGGGCGTTTGTTACTGTTGTCAGGTCTGCACAACTGAGGTATATATATATATATATATATATATAACTTTGTTAGGTAGGGTTAGGTAGGGTTGGTTAGGTTCGGTCATATATCTACGTTAATTTTAACTCCAATAAAAAAAAATTTACCTCTTACATAATAAAATGGGTAGCTTTATCATTTCATAAGAAAAAATTTAGAGAAAATATATTAATTCATGAAAACTGGGCTTATTAGGCAAATCGGGCCTTGCATTGTAGGCTGAGAAGTGCGTTCTGGCTATTAGGTACGACATATATATATATATGAAGTGTTTGTAGAAAGCCTATTGGTCCATATTTCTTGATGCTTCTATATTGGAGCGGAGTCTTGAGGTGGGTAGAATATAGTTGTGCAATAATTGGCTGTTGATTGCTGGTGTTGACTTCTTGATGTGTAGTGCCTCGCAAACGTCAAGCCGCCTGCTATCGCTGTATCTATCGATGATTTCTGTGTTGTTTACTAGGATTTCTCTGGCGATGGTTTGGTTATGGGAAGAGATTATATGTTCCTTAATGGAGCCCTGTTGCTTATGCATCGTTAAACGCCTAGAAAGAGATGTTGTTGTCTTGCCTATATACTGGGTTTTTTGGAGCTTACAGTCCCCAAGTGGGCATTTGAAGGCATAGACGACGTTAGTCTCTTTTAAAGCGTTCTGTTTTGTGTCTGGAGAGTTTCTCATGAGTAGGCTGGCCGTTTTTCTGGTTTTATAGTAAATCGTCAGTTGTATCCTCTGATTTTTGTCTGTAGGGATAACGTTTCTATTAACAATATCTTTCAGGACCCTTTCCTCCGTTTTATGAGCTGTGGAAAAGAAGTTCCTGTAAAATAGTCTAATAGGGGGTATAGGTGTTGTGTTAGTTGTCTCTTCAGAGGTTGCATGGCTTTTCACTTTCCTTCTTATGATGTCTTCGATGAAACCATTGGAGAAGCCGTTATTGACTAGAACCTGCCTTACCCTACAGAGTTCTTCGCCCTACAGAGTCTGAAGAACTCTGTAGGGTAAGGCAGGCAAGTTTTACGAAACGCGCCCGTGTCGCGTCAGACTAGAAATAAAAATGAATTTTGGAGAAGTGATTTTTGATTTACCTCCAACAGTGAAGCGTAATGTACGAAAGATTGAGAAAATTCGTGTTAGAATTATTAATCTTACTTTTTCGGTCATATTTAATAATATATATATATATATATATATATATGTCGTACCTAGTAGCCAGAACTCACTTCTGGGCCTACTATGCAAGGCCCGATTTGCCTAATAAGCCAAGTTTTCATGAATTAATTGCTTTTCGACTACCTAACCTACCTAACCTAACCTAACCTAACTTTTTCAGCTACCTAACCTAACCTAACCTATCAAGATAGGTTAGGTTAGGTTAGGTAGGGTTGGTTAGGTTCGGTCATATATCTACGTTAATTTTAACTCCAATAAAAAAAAATTTACCTCTTACATAATAAAATGGGTAGCTTTATCATTTCATAAGAAAAAATTTAGAGAAAATATATTAATTCATGAAAACTGGGCTTATTAGGCAAATCGGGCCTTGCATTGTAGGCTGAGAAGTGCGTTCTGGCTATTAGGTACGACATATATATATATATATATATATATATATATATATATATATATATATATATATATATATATATATATATATATATATATATATCAACATTCAGGCTTGTTCGCATATATATATATATATATATATATATATATATATATATATATATATATATATATATATATATATATATATATATATATAATATTGTGACGGGGAAGTGTTGGAGTGTAGATGTTCGGCAGTCCTCCAATGGCAGGTGTCAATGCCTAGTCACACTTACCAAAAAAAAAAAAAAGATAGACTGCTTGCCTGTTTGTCTGTCTGTGGTAAAGTAAGGGAAGACACACAAAGTATGAACAATGAAACTTTAATAAATATAGGGAGTGGAGTAGGGGGTGAGTCGGGTACGTTTTGCCTCCTGGTCAAAACGTTTTGTGCTACTGGGAGACGTATCTTGAAGGTAGCATCTTATTCTTGAATAATGAACGTAGGCTCAAGAGCAGGCTCAATCTCTCTTGAAAGAGATTATCGTCACAATATATATATATATATATATATATATATATATATATATATATATATATATATATATATATTTATTTATTTTGGTAGCAGTCTTTCCTGTAGACATATATTATTAAATATGACCGAAAAAGTAAGATTAATAATTCTAACACGAATTTTCTCAATATTTCTTATGTTTCTTTTCACTGTTGATGGTAATTGAAAAATAAATTCTCCAAAATTCATTTTTATTTCTAGTCTGATGCGACACTTGAACGCGTTTCGTAATAACTTATTACATTTTCAAAGACTTTAGTTTACACACACACAACTATAGCCTGCAAACACTAAACAGAGTTTAAACAGCTTTCATTTTATACCTGCATTTGGGTGAAGTGATATGTTACAACAGTTTTGGATGAGGTGAAAAGAAACTTTTAACACAAGGCAGAACACGAAACAATGGATATAATATTGGGTAAGTTAAAGGGTAGAATATAATAGTTACCCATCTCCTGACATTCCTCAACCCACAATAGTTGCTTAACTCCTGGGGACAT